GTTGTATCTATACCTACCTGGCACTTTGCATGTCTCTGTATTCAATGTATCAAAACATAGTGAAGAGGGTATCTAATTGTCTTTATGCAAACAGTATTCCTTTATATTGAACCTCTCTGCCCGAAATGATAAATCCATTACATGACATTCAGTTATGAACATTATAGTGTTATAAAGTGGGACTGCACTACCTGTAGCTACTTGCGCCCTCTATATAGCCAACAATGTCTAAGTGGTACAAGTTGACCCCCCATGGTCCACTTTTTCTTATGTTAATTGAGAGCTGATTTGTTGAGATAACCACCTGTCAGTGACCACACAGGGAGGTCTAATCCCCTGGCCAGACTATTGCAGATAGGCTTTAAAAATGATGTAAATGATGGGAAAATGGTTGTGTAAATGGTTTCGTACTCAGTTCGCTTAGCAATAAAGGTCTTGTAAAAATGGGCCATTCTGTCACCCGTTCCACTAGAAAGTGAATGGATAACCCACGCACCTGATAAAAATTGCATTGCCAAGGTAACCGTCTTAGGTAATTTAAGTTTGAAGTGGTTCGAGCGACACGCTAATGGGTAGAGATTAGGAAATAAATTCGAAGTTATTTCTGACGCATTAAACCAATATCTAGATCTATTTTAACCATTACGTCGTAGAAATCCTGTGGTGATACCCAATCTCATTTTCGAATAGATTTCGATATGGTTAAATTTCTCAATATATTATAGTTGCGGTATACATTACTATCCATAAAAAAGTGCAAAAAACAAAAACTGAAATGATAATGAATCATACATCACATCATATGTTCTAAAAACATTTTTGTGATAAAGCGATATGATTTATTAGGTCGGAGGATATTTTGTTTCTATATAAAATATTATTATTTGTGTTGATGTTTTAATAAACTGACTTGTAAGCGATGTGCAACGATTTTAACTGAATTCGAATTATTTTTGTTCCATTTTCCGAAAGAGAAAGCAAAAAAGGGACTTTTAATAAGACAAATGTTCATAAAGGTTAATCTAGATAAGGAAAATTGAAACTGATAGAATCTCTCAAAAGAGGAAATTATGTTCACTTATTCCCGTAAAAAAAAATCTACTCAGGATAAAGTGCGCTTTATATTTGATTAAGCACATCCGATTTAAAGTCCTTTTAGGCATCAATTTAGATCTAATAGATACCAATTACTTGTCAATAACCAGACTTACCGCGGGATCTGACTTTGCTACAATTTTGTTTGAGATTTTGAAGGAATTAATCATGATTTCAAATCCTGAAGCAAATTAGAAGAGATTAATAATATGAACAGCTGTCAATTGAGCCTACGGGCTTTACTTCTTGAAGCTTTAAATGTGTATATTAACCTGTCGACTGCTGCATTGTTTAATTCCCATAGGCTTAAGACGGGAGCGACCCGTTTGCAGAAGTCAATGGTTTAACATGTCGACATAAATTTGATGGGAGAAAAGGGGAAATACCAATATAAGTACTTCGCGACGCATTTACTAACATTTATCTGAAATATCATGTTCATTTTGGTTTATTATGCAGAGTTTCTCTTCAGAGGAAAACGTGCGTAATTGTTTCCCTTCTGTTTAAGAACACCGGAGATTCGATCTTTATAGAAACACACATAAAATTAAGTATCCAATCATAAACTCAGTCGGAAACATATCCTTAAAACGAGGGAACAAGCAAATCAATACAATCGAAGGCAGTCGAGTAAAAGCAGTATAGAACCAAAGAGGCATCCTTCTTGCATCACCATTTCGAACGTTCTCGCCCTCCCTAACTTTCTCGTATCTCTCCCTCTCATTCTCTCAATCTCTCTCTTTCTCTCTCTTGCCTGAATCTGTGTTCCATAACACAGTTTTCTCTGTTTGGGTTCAACATTTTGCTGTTTGCTGATCGTGGTGGCACACGAGCGGCCCCTTCCTCAAAAAAAAAAAAAAAAATCAATGCCCCGTATAAAGCGACGAAGAGGGAAAACGACAAACTTTAGATCAAAATCCAGAGGCCTTGCACTAGGGGACGAGAAAACCCAGGTATGCTGGATAAACAGTGGGACTTCTTCGCCATGTACTCGACCCACTTTCCCACCACATTGCATATATCGGTATTTTGATATTCAGACAAGCATGATATTTCATTAGTGCACGTCATGGCGGGCGGGGAACTCAACGTCTGTTTGGCCCAGCCCATGAGCACATCACTTTTGATAGGGTTGTCTTATAGAGTGAACGCATTCATACGCATAATATGATATGGCATTGCATACAGTTTATTAAGTCATATTGAAATCAGTATGGATTTGTGCACATGCTGTTCAAATTCCTCATCTGAAACAATGGAGGAACTATCTAAAATTACGTAATTGTCACTCATTTCGTTTACATTTTATTATTCGTGATATTAATGTTGTATTTTGGAACCTTTTACAGAGCGTCTTTGGAATGTCTATCGTTTTTGTGATGGGTGTTTAATTACGAGTGTTTAAAATCAACGTGATATTCGAATCCCCCCCCCCCCCGTCATTCAGACTATATTCTTGAAGATTTGTTTAAAGCTTTCGATATTGACAGTCATTACAACAAAATTGATATATTTGTTTTTGTTCATCCTTACACTGAACGTCATGTGAGATTCAAATGAAGATATCAACAGGTTTCGTCACAGTCACCCAATTGTTGATAGATTAGTACGAAGTGTTTAAAATCACCATATGATGTTTTTATATATTAGATAGCTTAGACAGATACCGAGGTGTGATTGGTCCAGAGCTTGTCACGTGATATCATTTGTGAGGATCCAAATTGTTATATTTTCCTGGCCGGTCACTTTTTGGTGTTATATTAACCAGCTGGTGAAATGAATATATTTTTAATCAATGCATGTCGCCCTTTTGAGGACTGTATGTCACCAATTACACACATTACACCATTACCGAGGGTCATTTAATTTTTTCAATATTTTTTTTTCATGAATTTTTTTTTCCCTTGAACTTATTTTTTTCCACATTTTCTTTTTTTTCCCAAAAAATGCTTTTTTAGGTAATTTTTTTTTTTCCCGAAAAATGCTTTTTTGGGTAAGAATTTTTTTTCCCCAAAATTTGTTTGTAATTTTTTCTTTCTTTCTTGAACTATCTCGACAGATTATTTTTCCGTAATTTCCGAAAAAAAGGGGAAAAAAAAAAATTCGGGTAAATTTTTTTGGACCCCCCCCCCCCACCCCCACACAAAAAAAGGGCTATCTAATATAACAGTTATTGACTGGCAGGGGCTATATAACATTCTTTGGACCTGAAGGGAGTTATATTTCCCCTCGTGACCATATTTATAATATTATTATAAATATAACCACTTGGGAAATATAACTCCCTTCAGCGGTCCAAATAATGTTATATTACACCCCCTGTCAGTCAATAACTGTATAATGTATGCTACATAACTACGTCAGCATCCTAATTTACGCCTGCATTACACACCCAAAAAATAAACACGACTTATAGACACAATACAATCGCTATTTTACACTTCACGGTCATAGGAAATAATCATGGGCTATTGAAAACCATTGATTTTGATTTCCTTTATTGTTTTTGTCTGGTTTAAGATCTTTCTATCACTTGTATCTGTTATCTAATGGAGATGTGAAGCTATTCAGTCTGATGGATGAACAATGTTTGTTTGTTTTCTCGAAATGCTGTAGAAATAATGAAAAACGTGCCGCTTGGGGACGTTTCCCGCAATCGCCAAGGTCCCCTAAGCACCGGCCGGGTCACGCCCTCCCCATGGGGGTAGGTAATTCTGGAAGACGTCCCTAGAAGCTGTCAAGGAACACTATACGGAGTCATCGGTCGATTTAGTTGCCTTGTGAGCTTACAAGGAGAGAAACGTCAAGACTTGAAACCAGGTCCCCTAAGATGTTCACCTGCCGTGGATGACTGTATTCGGAAATCGATTTACGATTGCATCGGGGAGAGGCTTTAAAGTGGCCAATATTTTAAAACGGGGGAGAAAGCGATGTTCTTATTGCTCTGGTGGCCGTTTTTCACTCACTCTTTCCTTTCTACAGGTCGTGTGTATTTGTGCAGACGCGCCTGTTTGGCCACAGGGGAACGGGGTAAACGACTCGTGAACTAGTTAGGAAAAGGTTATGAAAATTGCAAACTTCTCTCGCGGGCACTTGATTCGCAAAGCAATAGCTCGACTTCCGCCTGTTCTTACTACATAATTGCCGTCTTGTATTAGGCAAAAGGGGTGAAAAACCTCTGAACAATGTTTAGAATAGAGCACTAGATTTGTTCGTCATCTAAACAAATACAACAACTCCCTGTGAAGGGAAACGTAATTCCTTTCAGAGCTACATTATAGTGTCAGGAAGGGGAAAAAGTATAGTTGCCTTTCCGACAAAAGAATATCTGCCTTTTCTGGAAAATCATTGTTTTCATTCGTTTTCATTCCTAATATTTTGTAACCTCCTCCTCGCCAGATCTTGCAAATTCATTTGTAGTTCTCACAAAGGTCTATGTTATTCCTTTACAGTTAGTTTTAGCCATTTCTTAAGAAAGAATATTTCGTTATAAATCGATCTAAGATCAACAAGTGATGTTCTGTCTTGGAACGATGTGCGCATTCTGCAGTCTTGTTTATACTTGTTCTTTATTCGGATTCTCACATGCATGTATGCCTTGTATTTTTGGTACAGCATCCCTGGATGTAGTGACTCACATATCACACACATGCTAATATATCACGTGCATATTGACAATACACACAAACATGCACACACACACACACGCAACACACACGCACACACAGGTTATTCATGCGGAATGCTTACGGAGTGATGCTTGTCGAGTGTGTGTGAGCGTGGCGGTCGGGTTCGGTTACCTTTGCTTCCGTATATACACAATCTCTCACGCACACACCCACTCTCGCGCACACTCTCACTCATGCACCCACTGTCGCGCACACTTCCCAGGCAACTCCTCTTTTTCTCCTCGCGTCCTTCTCACCCGCTCTCTCCATCTCTCTTAATCTCTCCCCGTTCTTCCCACTCTTGCTTTCGCTCATGCATTATCATCTAGCATTTTTTTCCCATCCCCAATGTCCCCACGCGAAAGAGAGACATTCCACAGAAGATTGTTCGCCACCGAATGATAAACAGGATTCTCCGATCTTCTCTCTCCATCTCTCTTTCAATACACTGTGCCTATGCCGTTCCCATTCAAACGTGCCAGTACTGTCTACTCAATTGTTGCTATGTCACGTCGCTGTGCTGATGATCGCTGCCTTCCTTTTTTTAATTCAAACATTTGCATTTCATCATTGAGAAACTTCTCGCCCACTGAATGATTGCTTTGCTACGGATTCTCATTGGAATATATTCTCATCACACCCTCTACATATTGGTCTTATCTCGATGATTATTTAGACGATTGGTAAGTTCATCTGCACTTTATCCGAGCCTATTCGCTAACTTTATTATTCAATTTTCGACACAGTCTAAAGTATCCTCATTTAATATATTTTCTCAATAAAAGGTGGATGTATCAATATAACCATGCTGCCAGGTGATTTTACTATTAAATCAATGTCGGTACAATGTAGAATGGAGCTACCTGTAAAATGCCGTTTGGGTAATAACCTGTTTGCCTTTGTTGTTGGGTAAATCCCTTGTGCGACCTCGCGGTCATAGTTTCCGCATGCATACAAGCGGGGGAAATATAAACAGTGGATAATGAAAGCATCCGATTTTAAGAGGAAATTACTTTATCACTGATAGCTACTATCCAGTATCGTTTTCCGTTCTACAAAAGTTCATCATATATTATGGCACACAATAAAGTCAGTGATAGAACAAATGAATATTGCAATAAAATCATTAATGCGCAGTAAGATTTATATTGATTAATAAACATAAATACCCATTTTCCACTGCTATAGTAATGACATTCTTCTCAAATGTTTTTCACTTGATCATCTATCAGTCTGTAATGAGTGATTCTCTTACTATCTGATATTACGATAGTCAAGATTTTGTTCAATCATTTTCCCCCATTATTCCCACTCTATTACTTGTTTGTAGTTTCCCCTTACCAGTTAATACTCATTCCCCTATCTTAATACCTTTTAAACGAGTTAGGTTTTACCAATGGATCAAACACTGGACAGACGTTGTCATGAACAGAACAATTTTTGTTGTATGTCCTCCAAAAGAAAATGGCATTCATAAAACTCCAATCCGTAAATAATGTGTTACTTAAGTTCTGGTTTCTGAATAATAAATAACGCTTTTGCTGTCCTAGCACTCATGTTGTAAACGTAGAAATTATTGATTTTTTTTCTAAACAATTTAGCTCTTGACGCGAAAAAAATTCAAAATCATTAAAGAAAAATGTAATGATATCGTACGGGCAAAATCGATCTATTTTCTTTGTGAAGTATTCAAAAATTGCCTTACTGGCATTTGCCTCGAGCAATCATGTTATCTAAATGAAATTGCACGTTTCCTTTTTTCACGAGTAATTTATTCCACTTGATATTCAGTAAGGCAGTTAAAAAGAGGTTGATAACGCGTCAATTAAATACACAAAATCATGTTAATGGCTCCTTTAAAGGGTTTTCCCATTCATTTATGTTGTTCATGTATTTACCCCATTTAAACTGTGTGCACGATGTTAATGTAGCTCTTCAAAACCCCGTCTTAATTGTGCTCACCTTTCTCTCTTGGTTTCTTTCTCACACACATACTCATTAACAGATACCCCTACACCCACACGCTTACATTACCTGGCAATCACGATCTCCATTTCAATTGATCCCGTTCTTATCTCCCATGCGATGCCCTAGATTCTACTTTTCTATTATTCCTTGATCCTCAACTTATCCCCCTCAACCGCTCCCCGTATTCAAGTCATGATGCCAAATCCGATTCATTTCTAAGTGAGCCACCAACACACGCCATAATGCTCGCTCATTTTCGTTGCCGAGTATTTTTCAGGGATAGATTAACGGTCTCTCCATTAACTTTTCGAATTTTCCGAGAAATCCTGATTGAAATGCAGTGAATCTGCAACTTTGCATCAACCTAATGTATATTGCATTTGAGGGCATAGCGAGTTCACAGAGTCTGCTATTAGTTTCCTTAAGATGTTACGTCCAATTAATCAGGGCGCCTAAATATATTAACAAAGCATATGAGGCGTTGTATAATGAATTACATGTAGATGTTTTTAAAAATAGAACGCCGTGAAAATTATAAAAACAGATCCCATTGAGTTCAAGCAAAGTTTAAAAAGAATAGCGCATGGCGAGGGCCAGAAAGCCGGGAGTTCACATCTCAGTTAACATTATATTAAAAAAGGTATTTGGTGGCTAAAAACAAACTACGTATTTTTGTTATAAATTTTAGTTTTCATCTCTGGTGGAAGAAAGGATCACCTTAGCATCTCCTTATGAGACATCTGCAAATTCTTGATATACTTTTCAGATGGCTATCATATGGTTTACAGTATTTATCGGTGGCTATGTTACTTAATGCCCATTTTATTGTGGATATCTCACGAATGAAAATTATATATATAACCTGGTACTTACATGTACATATTAAATGTTTTTAGTGTTTTAATCGCTACTTTAAGCAGAAAATATTTTTACTGAAAAAAAATTAAAATATTTAAAAAATACCTGAACACTCAAAATAGACCTGCTAATAATTAGCTTCAGGATAAATTCTATCGAGACGAAGATATTCATATTTTTCTCGTTCAAAACCAATTCCCACAATACTCCTATTTATTTCCCTAGTTCCTCCTTTGATGAAATGAACGAGAGAAAAGAAGCGTGCCATGGCTTTGATTGAAGACGGTTTCCGTTTAGATTGAGAATGCACCATTTCACAAACGATGCGGAATAACCGGTCAAGGTCGCGGCACATAATTTCAATTTTCCTTGCTTTTTTCCTTCGGCAATTTCCCTAATCGCCCCTCTTCATCTGAAATACTTCTGGCGCCGACAAGTGGATCCTTTTTCTTCTTCTTCTGTCTCTTCTTCTTCTTCTTCCTCTTCCTCTCCTCCTTCTTCTCTCTCTTTATCTCCGTCTCTCCCTTTTCTTTGTGAGTGTGTGATTATCGTTCATCACGGACCACTCCATGGTTATTGTAATGGGACCGTTTAAATAGGGTATTACCGGTCACCCCATGGGATTCGAGTTAAAATATTGGTTCTTTGGAAAAAAATATCAATCTGTAAATTGTCCTGGATGTTGGTGCCAATTCGCAGTTGATGTATAGGCATGATGACACATCCTCTCTGTATTTAATATATTTCTTTCTCATCACAGCGTTAAAATATTTTCATGGATTGGACAGAGAATTTGGATTTAGTTCTCTTTTTCTTCCTTTTCCCCTTCTCTCTTTGAAGACTGGTAGTCTCAAATAACTCGAATTCGTTTTGACGACCAGCGTTATTATAAACTTTGGATATGTTAGAGTAGACTAAGCATAAAAAGACAAAGGATCTATTAAACTCGAAACTGGATATAAAAGTATAAAAAACACAAACAATATATTCTTTAATAAAATATTAGAAAACCCTATGTTTTTTAACCATTGCATCCGAATCTGCAAATTGTTTTAAAATGATATCTAAACGGGATACGTAGGGCTTGAATTTCCATTTAATTCTAAATCGCGGAGCTTTGCCAGAATTATTACACCTTGGAGCTGAGATTTGTGTTTTTTGTTGTACATCGGTTTCAAAATCTAAATGCCCTTGGCTGGTTAAGCTGGTAAACTTAATTAGAATTTTCATTTTCGATCTAAAAATCCCTTTACAGCCGCTGTAGCTTAAGTAGGCTGGTATATTAAGGTCACAAATCATGCCTCTCATTTGCAGTTATGGCACGAGATAACCCTTAAATCGAACGGCCGTATGCAATCAATTTCACCTGCTTTAAATTGAGAATCAACGGATTTATGATATATTTCCAGACTACAAAAGAATTGCCCTTTGACATTCTTTTACGAGTTTCCAAAAAGCGTAAGACAGGCTTGCCGGAGCAATATTTTAACATGATGATATATACATACAATAGAATATAACATTTGATAAATTTATAATGCAGAAACGACACATGTGGCATAAATATACAAGAAATCGAGTGTATATCATTATGATCACCTTGATTAAAAGATATTACAATTAACAATATGTTTTGATAAGGACAAAAGCATTGCTTCTGCTGAGTGTTTTAATATACATTCTTTGTTGTTGGTTTCTTTAAAACCAGCCCCCTTTCCCTCTTTCTCTCTTCGTCTCTTATTGCTTGAATTTATAGCGAGTTAATGGATTTTTCAATAGTGTTGACGTAATGGACAAAAGGGTAATGTTACAAACACAATTTCAATTATCAGCTACACGTGCATTTATGAAAGATGTTACGCCTTGCGATTTGCAATTACGTAATTCAATGAGATACATTGTTGCGTTTTCCGGGAAAATGTTAGTTCGTGCATAACATTTGTATGATGGGAGTATCTCTTTACATATAAATATACCATATTTAGTTTCAACCATTGAGATCAAAACCACCTTCTCATGAGATCATGCCCCTGAAGCTGGACCAAGATCACAAGTGACAAATGCATTAGACTCTTTTCTCTGGTTCAACGTAGAAAGCATTGCCATTACTCAATCAGTTTTGTATATCTACCGTCGTGAATCTTTCACTGGTCATATTAATATATTAACCATTACCGTTCTTTTTGATTTCTGCAAGGTGAAATTAGATTACTTAAATATGGGGAGGTAGAAAGTGAGTAGAAAAGAGAGAATTCGATGGACGCTTCTAAACCCAACAGAACGAGAGAAAGAGAGACTGGATAGAATATGGGGAAAGTATGATACATACTTAAAGGATTAGGAAGTGTGTGTGTGAGAGGGAGACAGAGAGGGACAGAGGAAGAGTGAGAGGGAGAGTGAGAGAGAGAAAGAGAGAGAGAGAGAGAGAGAGAGAGAGAGAGAGAGAGAGAGAGATGTAGATAATGAGAGATACATGAGACGTGGATGTTAGATGTACAAATTCGAAGGAGATGGAAAAAGACATATATTTTAGACAGATCAATATTGCGAAAGGCAGAAGGGAGATAGACTAAAAGAAAGAGAGAGAGAGAAAGAGGGTGAGAGGGAGAGAGAGAGAGAGGGAGAGAAAGAGGAAGAGGGATGCAAAACCATGCTATGTCCGATACAGTTATGGTACGACAGAGAAAACATGCCACGGAATGTGACGGAACGATAGAGATAATTAGATAAGGGGAGAAATAATACCGTAATGATTATCGCGGTGGAAAAAATAATTACATCTCAAATATATCTGCCTAACAGCTGCCTTTAAGGCTTCTCGGTTTAGAGATTCTCACGTTGCACTGAAGTTAATTCG